GACGAGCTGACCGCATCGTCGGGGGTCTGCAGTAGACTGGTAGTCTGCGACAGTGTGCGTTGCTGGTGATGGGAATGATGATGGAGATGATGGTGTTGCTGTTGCTGCTGCATCTGTTGCTGTTGTTGTTGTTGTTGTTGTTGTTGTTGTTGTTGCTGGGCCGCCAGGATTTCTTCGTGCCGACATTTCGAGCAACGACGCATCTCCGAGCGGACACGCAACAGCCAGACCATGCCGAACAGTGCCATAGCAATCTCAAGTCGCGATGACCTCGATGGGTGCTTCATGCTCGCTGAGTCAAGGTCATCGAGGCTCCAGTAGCCAACGCGATGCATAGCACTGAAATCTTTGCTAACGACGTCCCCTTTTCTTTCCTAACCGCGACTACACAGCCTGATCGCTGGAATGATTGTTGCTTCTCTAGATACGTAACGTGGTTTTTACCCTGTTTAGACTTTTAATTGTCTTTTCTTTTCTTTTTTCTCTTTTTTTCTAGGTAAATTCGGATTTTTGTTTGGAAGTTCGTTTTAAAGACACGCAAGGTTTTTTTTAAAGCAATAGTTGTTCAGAGAATTTAATTAAGTTTGGAAAATTTTAGCTAGGCAGTTTGATTTTCTTTTTAGCTATTTTGTTCCCTCGATTATACTTTGTGGATTTATGTTTAATAAAGATTTTGTTTGTATATGTTCTCGAATTTGAAATATTTTTTACATCATTGACATTACGCTTTTCACGTCATTTCTTGTGAATTTGGATAACAATATTACCAGAATTTATGTTTCTTACTTCGTTCCTTTTCGAAAGGAACCTTCCCGCTGGCTCCTTCTTCAGGCATGAATTCCTCCGCCTGTACAACCAATCTTTCGATTCCAATTTTTAGTTCGTCACAGTCGCGCTCGCATCGAGATTTGTCTCACCGTTAATGGAACCTATCCGCCGTAAATTCTTCGTCGATCTACCTCCATTCTTCTTTGGATTACCAAAGTATCGAAGTAATCTTACTTCACCTCCATTTCAACAAGCTGGCTGATGTGCTTCATCGATTCGATTCCTAACCGGTCGCTTCAGCAAGTGCGAATACGCTCATTCCACGAATTCGTTCAAATCGGAAATCCCGTGTGCCGAATCCTTCGGCTGCTTTCCACATCTTTCACTGACAGCGCGAACGCGCGACATTCGTCAGGATTAGGATTTTGGCGGCAAGTTCGGAACGTGCGAACTGCGGATTACGAACTATCAAGGAACGCGCCGTTGCTGCAGTTGCGCTTTACGCCGATAGGACGAACAAAAAAAAGTCCATAGAATTTTTTAGACACTCGTTTCCATACACTGATTCAACATTCTCGAGGCTACATGACAAAATGGAAGGCACGATTGTTGGGAACGTGACGATCGACGACTTCAGGAATATCCAGATTTCTTCAGAATGTTTCTCGTATGTTTTAATTTCGCACGATCACACCGCGTTCGTTAACATTCCAACGACGTAGCAAAGAAATTATTAGGCCAGTCGAGGGCGACGTATCCGTGTGATACGTCGTGAATAACATTAATGGTCAATGAAACCTCCATCAGTGTAGTCAGTGAAACTGCACGGGCAACTTTGTCGTTCCCTGGTAAATGATTACGGCTAATGAAGCCAGCTTATGGACACACTGCCAGTTACTGTTGGTCCCGATGAACGACGCACTTAGAAAAGTAGAAAAGATTCGTTCGTGATCCGCGCTGGCTATGGAACACTCTCGTGAAAGTTTTTAGCAAGCAAGCCGAGAGAGGTATCGTCGTTGCTCCGCTCACCAACTTTCCCATTTGCCCTATCGCTGCGGAGCAAGTTGCAACGAGCTGGGCTGCCCAACACCGTTCGTGTCTCCCAGCCGTTTCAACTTCTGCGTCTGTTTTCTCGCCGCGATTCTCTGTGACCCATCGAGCTGCGCGAGGCTGACGTCTTTCCGAATGCGGTCCCCCGGAACGAGGACCCGCTCCCATTGAGGCGGCACTTCCGGCCAGCGTGTTCGTTTCACTTGCTACGCACGGCTGAATCGGCTCCTTTCGGGGACACAGAGTTGGATCTTGATCCTCGATGATAACGCGGTTTCACTGAACGCTGCAAACCGTTTCCAAGAAGCTTTAGCTCCACGTCGAAGTTACTGGACGGGAAGGTTCGATAAGTGTCCGGGATTTCTTTTATCCGAACAACCAGACCTTGTCGATCCCACGTTTTTTCTTCTTTCTTACATTGAATTCTATTATGGGGCTTCAGAACCGTCCCTTTCTTACGCTGGCCTGCAAAAGTTATACGAACGATCCCACCAAGCCTGGACGAGATTCTACTGGCAAAAGGAAACACACTCGAACAGGATCGGCGTCTTTCCTTTCTCCCTTTTTTTGTAGTTATCTTTGCCTTCCTTATTTTTTTTCTTTCTTTTTATTTTTTGTCGAGCTTCTGATGCTGCAACGAGGAGGATCCTTCAAACGACGCGGTTGCCGTGTCTAATAGCCCCGCGTTTGATACAGCGAAATGAGATCCCCGAGTTCACGGAAATGTAAGTTCGATTTGTTTCGTTAAAAGGAGAATATTCCGGTATCTCTGGTTCTATTCCAGCCGCGATACACCGATTGATTTTATTGCTCGTGTTTCATTGCTTCTATCGGAAAGTATACACTGGACCGGAAAATTATTTAGACAGTTATCATAGAAAACATTTATGTCTATATTTTATGTATTATATAAAACATTTTGAAAATTCAGTAATACTGTAATGAGGTACGACTGTCGTGATTATATTGGAGAAATTTAAAACCAATACAAAAATGTATCTATGAAGAGATTACGAGATATTTAACGCAAACGTACATTTAGCAAAACATTAATATACAGCATAAGGAGCAATCTTACGCTCATAGTAAGTATAGTTCTAGTAATAAATACGGTTTTATCAATTTCATAACTATGCTAATGTTTCGCATAATACACGTAATACATTCATAAAAGGTGTCTATAAGCGTTTAAAATCTTTTATAAGCATATCGACATGGAGCTAGTATTTTATATTAAAATACGAAGCAGATGTGATAAAAAATATCAGAATTTATAACGATTAACTGTCGACAATGATTGTTTCACGACGCTTTCATTCAATTCTGTCGTATAATTTAACCATTTCCGTCGATGCAGCGCTAGAGATTTTACACATACATTTCGTTTCTCCGCCAGTCACGAAAGTCTTTCGCTGAGAAACTTTCGAAGTTATTCAATTGTATCATTAAGGTTCCGTGACGGCGTGTCCTTGTTGATCGTGAAACAAAGTTTGATCGAAAGTAAATTACTCGACGCGTTTTGCAACGCGAAGACCAAACGCGACCAAACCCTGAGTTCTGGAATATGAAACAGAGCTGTAGAGGGATTTTATGGATTGACTCGAGCGTCGAGAAACCTTGAAAAGCAGAAGAGACGGAGTTGTAAATTATGACGGGCGTCTCGACGAACGGCGCAGTGGAAAACACTTGTATGTTCTTCGAGTACTGACTGCTGGCACTCCTCGTCACCGCGACGAGCAAGATGCTCGTACCTGTCACGTACAAGTAACAATTAAAACTTGAATCTTCGGCTCGAGGGGTTGCTTGTTAACGATGATTCTCCGTTTTTGAATGGCAAGTCGAGTTACCGATAAATTTTTGCGTATTGGGCTTTTTAACGATACGAATGAAGCAGAAAGAGATTGCAGTTTTTCTGGAATGTGAACGACAGTTTTAACAAGCTCACTTCGAGTACAATATCTGATCTTGAAGTTAAAATTCGAATTAGATTCTAGTACTGGATGGTATTTTAAACTTGAAATTCAGTATCATTCTAACCGTTAGTACTCTCAGAATGTTTTGATACGAGTGATGCCTTTTGGAACCAGAAATCATATACCGAAGAGGAAAAGATTTACTTATATAGATCAATCTTTTCCTTTCTTCTATTTTTGGTAAAAACAAAGCAAAATGACAGTTCATATAGAGGAATTTTAACAGGAACTCTATTTTATGTTTTTTGATATAAAATAAATCGTATTGGATGATATAGCGATCTCGATAGATATTTCGAACTATAGAAACAAATCCTTTCAATTTTCTTCTCATTGGATAAATCACGAACGATCATAAAAACTGGCACAAGTTCGTTCAAAGAAATAATTAATCGAGGATGGAGAAAAATACGCCGGAATAGGTGTCGATATAATGGCTAGTTAATACTCGATGAAGGCATATCTTTTGCGACCGTTCAATTGACGTTCCGTGGCTCTTTGTCTGCTCGCAGCCGCCATCAAATGCATCGTGCGCGGATAAATAAACCGCGAACGAACGCGATTATAACGGGGTAGAAATAATGCAGTTGCCTGCACCCGTCATGCCGGTGCAGTAAATCACTGAGCGATCGCGAGTACGAAATAATGCATCGGGAACGTGAATGGACGTTAGAGGTCGGGGAATCATCCAGACAAACTGCCATTGCAATGAACAATGCGATTGAAACGCTCTCTGATACGCGACTGCTGGCCACTGATACTCCTAGTGCTCGCCTATCATCGCCTCTTCTCCTCGCAATAATACGTTTCACATCTGATTTATATTTAAGTGTATAGTGATAGCAATTAAAAAGTATTCAGATGAATATTCTACAGGGATCAGTACAGATGGTTATGACATAGCTCATGAGAGAAGGTTAACTGATTAAGAACATAACTTGCTGTTAAATAGATAGAGATAGATAGAGAAAAGTGGGAGGAAGAATGTAATTCATTATTTGTTTAAATGTAAAATATCGTGAATTTCGGTGAGTCAACAAGTTTAATTCTAATATAATTCGAGTCATCGTCCATTACTTCCATCGCTTCTTATAACTTCTTATAATTCCATTTAGCGCCAGCCAACAGAAATACTTTTAATTTTTCTGGAGAAGTTTTTACAGACGATAGGTGAATTAAGTAGAACGTATAGAAAATACTACACGAAAGACTGAAAATCATAGCAATGTAGGTTAAAATACAGAGATTTGGTCAAGTATTTCAACTTTTAAAAGTATCATTTCTTTAATTTCTTAATTAAAACTAAGTTATAATATTATTCTGTGCCACAATTCATTTTCGCGACTTGAAAAGGTATAAGGAATATTTTATAATAATAAACCCATGCTGTTTCTTAGTGTATACTATGATTTTTAACTGTGTAGTGTACAGGTAGTATACTATGTATACTCTGTATATAGTTTCGCTCCATTCTACAATTATACAGAGAGATAAAATTAAATATGTAGCATTTAAAAATTATAAAAATATCATTACCACTACAGCATTGAAATTCCTGTTTTCGCGGAACTGGTTTTATTCAGACAAGTTAAAAATTCTCCTCCTAGCTCTGTAAATTATAATGATCCTCGAAGCAACAAGACCGTCTGTGTTTCTTAATCGGTACGGAACGAAGTTGCGTGTAGTGTTTGTACGAAGTTCAGGGGTGAAATTAGCGGAAAACCAGGGTGAGACTAAGACGGAACGAGCGCGTTGCATTCAGCGCAATTAAACGCGACGCGGGGTCCGTTCCGCAGCCGAGTTGTGTCGCGCAATTGTACGTAGAGCGATCCAGCGCGGCGTGCACACGTAGGTTACATGGCCGGAATTTATTTTGATTCTACGCGGCGCAAAGTATCCGAGACTTCGTCCACGATGCATGAAAATTTATGATATTCTCGTTCGTTTGTTCGTCGGGCCGTTCACGCGAGAAATTTATTCGACGTACGTTATTTAAAAACGCGGCTCAACGGCACGGAACGGCACGACTCTCGTGTGTGTCGGCCGTAAAAAAAAGAGAATATTAAAATATTATCGCGGATTCGCGTCCGTGTCATCGTATATTTCGTCGGGAGAAGGCGCGTGGGAGAGCTACAGCGATCCAGAGGAAAAATATGAAAATCCGTGATAAATCGATACGCGCGGAAAAACGTGTTGTTTTCTGTGTGATTAACGAAAAACATTTTTTCCGTTCATTGGAATTAGAATCAGTCGGGATCTGAGATTACTTCATATTTGTATATGAAAGTTCATAAATACATAAGAATTCGACGTAGGTCTTACTTTATTAATTTCTTCTACTGCTTAGTGTATCTATGAAATTTATTTTTATATGTTTGGATTATTGTATAGATAAAATGTCCAACTTCTATAATTACATGTATAATTACATGAGAATACTTTTTATGTACGAATGTCGAATATCAAATATCGAATATCGTATATCCTACCTCTACTTTAACACAGAATCATAAAAGGGACGCACTCCTATGAAAATTTATCGCTTATTTTGAATAAACAACTTTTACAACAACGAGTATGTTATTTCGGACTCGAATTCACTGTTCGCACCATGTTGGAACGACACGGAATTTTCGGCAGCGAAAATTTTCCCTGATGCGACCAATGGAAATGTTAAACGAGATCGACGATTTTCGGAGGTGAACTGTGGTAACGCGGCTGCATTACAACCCTGGCAATTTTTTCGCGGCTCTCGATTCCGTGACACCGTTGAATATTCGCGAGCGCCGAAACCGACACAAGTCGTTTCTGTTAAAAAGCAGCCGACAGCAGCGCACCGTGTGCAAAACCACTAATAACGATGCTCTGCCTACGATTTTTATTTATTTTAGCCAGCGGCGTATCGATCGACAGAAATTAATGTGTTGACACTATAGCGTCACGTACCGCCAAAAAACAACATCGTTGGCCTGATTCACGGCTGACGACCGCGTCGAACCTATGGAACTCTTTTCCCAGCTTGCTGGTTACGATACCATACATTGTCGTTTCATAATTTTTTGTCATTTTGTTCAATAAATTCAAATAATAAAAATTTGTTCCCTATTTTTATTTCTCCTTCCTCAAATGTGTAACTGTTAATTTTAATTTATTAACTGGGGAAAACAAGATTCACATTCGCCAATCCAAATATTAATTTATCTTTATCAACTTTTAATTCCACGATCATGAAACTTTCGGATTAAGACAAGACCTCGCTAACAAGTTAACTAGCTGAACAGGGCTTGTTTTAAGTTTAAATTCAACGATATTGCTATACAAATTTTGAAAATTATTTATCAGACGTCTAACATTGAAGATAAAAGTGCTTTAAGACTTTCCAAAACTTCCACGATGATCGATGGAATATTTGTAACGGTTACCTACTCGAGAAACGGTATGTCGTTGTGTATATCCATCAATAATTTAAAAACTTTCAGTCATAACGGACTT